GGAAGCCATGACAGGGGAGATCAGTCAGCCCAGCCTAAAGGGGGTTTGATGAGGAATGTGAGAGAACAGCCGTGTCCATTTGTACCTTTACCAGCCGGCTTGCCAGCCTTCCAGTCGACCGTCCAGACCTCTGAGTGCCTGGACAAGGGACGCCTTTGTCCCTCATGTGCTGGGTTACTCCCTACCCTGCTCCTGCTCCCCTTCACACACCCCCTCTCATCCTGTTGCACCTCCATCTTTTCACTCTCCAGGCCCTCACCCCAGAAAAGCACAGCAGGTCTCCTCTGGAAATAGAGCTGGTGATGTTGGCAGACTCTCTTTTTATTTTATATTTTTTCCGTGTATCTTTTATGTTTAATGTAATCTCAGTTTTTCATTGTATTTGTAGAGATTTATTTATTTGCATTTGATGTTAAAAAAAAAGAATGCGTAAAGCATGAATGACTTACCAGTAATAAAACTTCGAATTTGAACGTCTTTRTCCGTGTGGCTGACACTTGGTGGCAGTTGCAGCAACATGTTGAGCAATCTAGTGTGAATGATACAGTACTTTTCTTTATTGTTGTGAGTTCTGTAGCTTTGTTGCAAGAAAAATGTAAATAAATGTACATAATGTAATTTCATTGTGCTCTGTACAATGACAGTAAAGGCATCATCAAATCAAATTAAAACGTACTAAGATCTGCCAGGTAATGGGCAACACTAAACACGTATATTTTTCTTCTCTCCTTTTTTCTTAGTTTTCACAACAAGAATGCAGTGAACGAGACAAACCCTAAGATTATTTAATGTGTGGTTTATTTGTTGCTGAATACCCCTAACCTTTAGTATCAGCTCATTGGCAGCAAATGAGTGCCAAATTATTTGGTAAAATGTGTTGCATAGCTTTTGCGATGAAATCCACATTTGTTTTTAGCCCYGTGTGCAATGAACATTGGGCGTCACTTCTTCAAACCAAGGCTGAAGTTTCAAACTTAAGAAGGCGTCTAGTTCAACATGCCTACAAGATTCACACCAGATGAATGTTTTTTTTTCTAGTAATGACTGAATAAGTTCAGCTGAGTCATGACGTGTTTGATGTTTGGACATTTTCTGCTTGATTAGCTTTTGTCTTTACTTACTGAGATTTCACTTTAATACTTTGTTTTGAACATATTTAAGAAACAAGGCYGTTTTCTTTTTAACTGTAAATTTTCTTTAAGACTGTCTGTGTTTGTATAGAAGGGCTGTAATGGCCTTTTATAGAGCTGAAGTGTTTAAAGGAACCATCGCCCACAGATTGCATTTGCCACTGGATTACTGGGTTGCATGTAAACCTAATCATTTGATGATGTGGCATGAAGGTGTACCACTTTTCTGGAGGCTGTAAATTGTGGTTGTTAAATTCCTTTGCTTTGGTTTCAGTCCTTTTTTTCCACCTCTGTCTGTCTTCTCTGGATATCTAAGCAGTTATTTATAATCACAGGACAAAGGTGGTTTGTTTAGTGCAACTAGTGATCAAGTACCCATTTCTCCATACCCATATGCTTTGGAAACATGATTCAAAAATTTATTAAAAGGGCCAATATTATGTGTTTCTCAGGCATACATTTAAATACTATACCATAATAAAGTATCTATGCCACCTTTAGTTGTTATTAAAATGCTGTTTTTATGTTTAAATAG